CCTGGTTTGCTCTCTGGGCTTCACAGTGCCCATCTAGGCCTAACTCTTGGTGGGCACCAGATTCACACCAACCACTGGGGCGCATGTGCTCAGACTCTTCTTCTGGAAGTCTGGGCCTTAGGAAGGGAAGCATCTTTTGCTTGAGCCAACCTGAGAAATTTCCACAACCCCCACCTAATGACTGCTGTGTCCCCGGGCTCTGGTAGCTAAAATGGCTCTGATGGAGGGCTAGGGTCTGAGGTTCAGATCCATCAAATCACATAGGGAGAGACAAGGTTGCTTTCCCTCATCCGTGGATGCAGATGGCTTCGTGTCCAACCTCTCCCAAGAATTCTGAACCAGGGGAGAGAAGAGGGAGGAAAAAGCAATGGACAGAGGATGCTGGGTACTTATAGCTACTGAGAGATTGCCAGGGAGAAAGCAAACCTTTGTTTTCAAGTCATTTTCAAATCATCACGATCTCTAAAATCACAGCAAGGACAAAATATTGAATAACTGAGGCAAGGGTAAGATTTGCATATCAAGTGTTATAATGTATGCAAATGTCAGGCACAGTAAGTGAGCTGGGGAGAGGTGGTGTGATTGAAGCTTAGTGAGAAGTTGCTTCACCCCGAATCACTCAGTTTTCATTATCTTGTTTAATAAGAGCTTGTGGTTCTTCCAAAGTATGTAACTGATTTCATGTCCTTTTGCTATTTCTATAGCATTTCTAACAGTTGTCGTTTTATCCCTGGAAAGTTGGTACTACCTCATGAGCCACTGATTTTGAGAGTGGCCACCCCCACTAAGTTCTGTGTCACCCCCGCACACACACAATAGATCATGCTAACCGCTTTTTTACAGAAAGGTATGCTCAGACATGGTGTGAGGGGCAGGGAAGGGGGTGTCATTACAGAGCAACTGGTTAGAACACCTACCAATTAGGACAGGTTTGTGAGTTTGAGCCTCGGGCGCACTGGGTCTGTCCTCTGTTCCATGGCTCCCAGCTGCATCCCTAGCATCTATCTATCTACCCAACCTCATTCAAGATCAGAATGATTGTACACCTTGTTGTGGGTGGAATAACACTTGCATATCACCAGACCTGAGAAGCAACTGCCTGATCATTGATCATCTCCATAAATAGAAGACAGGTATTAAAGTATTACACAAAATAGTTTTGTTGTTACACAAAACCTGCCAAATTGGAAATTATTTCCCAGATCTGAGCATCTCTCAACTAAATGATACATGCCAAAGAAGTAAACATGTCATAAAGTGTGACATATCAGGGCATACTAGGAGTAAGAAGGAAAAGAGAGAAAACGGTAATATTTCAGAAAATTTAAAAAAAAAAGAAGAAGAAAGCTGAGAAACAGTAATAGTTGGAATTTTTTCATGGAGGTTGTTCTTTCTGTTTATAATTTTCCTAATATTCGTAACACTAGGTTTAGATTTGGAACTCCCACGGCAAGTGTCTCTTGCTCTCTTGATATTTCTCCAGAAGTTCATGTGCAGTATTTGATTATATCACAATCAAAATTTAGAGCACATTGCATGCAAAGTACAAAAGTAAAACATCAGTACTAACTGGAAATGCCTGATAAAATACACCTACTTCGTTTTTTCCCTTGTACTTTTCAATCTTTTCTAAGTAGATTACCATAACTCTCACAACTAGGAAAAAAACCATTTAAACTGCCTGCTAATTAAGACAATGCTATTTAATATGTTCCAGAGTTTGTAACACGGGCATTGCCTATTCTCTCTCCATTCCTTCTTTGACTCTTCAGACAGCCAGTTTTGGAAATGAGATGCTCTGCTTTGATGGTAGGCCAACAGCAAATTAAACTACTCCTGAATTTCACAAGTCTAACATTTCAAATGAGATTTCAGCTCACTCCACACAGTGTAGCACACTTGTGCCTGATGAAGCATTGCTGATAGAATAATTAGCTTGAACAATGTGTGAAAGCCAAGGGACAGTTTTTTAGGCAGTCACTAACTGTTGTTCCCTCTATGCTCTTACAAATGAACGTTCAAGAGGTGAAGAGGGAGAAGGGCCTTTCCTTTGACCCAGCACAGGATTTCTGCAGTGGTGTGTGCAGTGTTTAGAGAGGAATGCACGTGGAGAGGTATCCAGCCAGCCAGATCAGACTTCGTTTGCAGCCAGATGACCACCACATCTTATCCTACAAATATTATCTGGTGCTCAGTCTTGAGCCCTCACATATGAGAGAGTAAAAGTGTGGAGTCTGGGTGTCTTTGAACAGCCACTTAAACTATGGTTTCTATTTTTAAAATCTACCTTCACGCAACTGATCCTTTTACTTTGCTGGTTAATTTTAATGCTATCTTTAAAAGATGATAGCTAATCGAGAGTGTAAGATAGCAGACACAAGTAACATGTAGCACCTCTCTGGCTATTCTGGAACTGCGAGTCGCAGCTCAATCCAATATAGTTACCACCCCCAGGCCTGGGTGTGCAGGCTTATTTTGGAGTTAGACCCAGCTGAGGCTTGAAACTGGCTCCAGGCGTTTCCTAGCATTACCAGACGGTGGGATCCTCTAGGAAGCAATTCTACTGTGGGCTTTCTATTCCCGAACCGGGTCTTTGAACATAATTCTGCTTTCTTACCCAGTAACCAGCAAATTCAGCCTTCTCATTCCTGACTAACCTGTCTCTCCATCTCTCTACTCAAGGAAAAAAATTAGGAAAGAAAGAGAAAGACAAGGAAGAGAGAGGTAGATTAGGGTCTCCCATTTCCTGTATATGCTAAGAGAAGCCAGTATTCCTTTTCTTCTTGGTCATGATGATTTCTGTCCCCTCCCCAAGTGCCGTTTTTTCCTATTTTTAGCATTGTTTTGTTTTAAGAAATCCTTCTCCTCTAAAGTCTTATCTGGTGATTCAATTTCAAAACCAACTGGAATCTTTACCAACCATCCCATAGCCAAAGCATAATCTGGGTTTGTATTAAGAAATATCCCTGGTAAAATCCCAAATATCTGGTGTTTGGTTGTTTTGTTTTTTGATTTTTGTTCTTGGCCAATCAATATGTCTCCCTTTCCATTCATTCATGCCTAGTCCCTGCTGATTCTGTGAGCTCCCCAAATTTGTGTACCAAATTCCCTTTTGCTTAAATTAGCCAACTTTTGGTTAGTCGTCGTTGGTTTAGCCAGCTTAGTCGCTCAATAAACAAAAATGTTAACCAATACACTTGGCCTCCATCTTGCCCCTCACCTCTTCTCCCGGATCTAAAATTTCTAGAGATTAAGCATAGATTAGATAACAATTATCCAAATGTTATCTCCCAGATAAATTTACCAGATCAGTAAACTGAAATTAAGTGAATGAGGAACAAGAGCTGATACAAGACGGGACTATTTCAGCAGCGCAATATCATGAGCTGTATTCTTAAAAGACACAAAGAAAGATGTGAGTGCGCATGGCCGTCTGCAACACTGGTGGTCAGGACTTGGTTTCGTTTTAGCCAGAGTCGGCTTTAGTGAAAGACTATTGGAGGAGCCTAACCAGTAGTCTTCTGCTCTGATACCCTTCTTACTTCTTCAGAAATGAAGACAACCAGGACAGAGATAATTGGAACTTCGGGAAAGGGATAAGGACAGAAGTCATAGGCAGGCAGTGACAGAGCTGACGTTACAGGTTTCCTTATATGTATCATGTACCGGGTCATTCAAGTGCTTTTTGTTTTTTGTTTGTTTTGTTTTGTTTGCGGTACGCGGGCCTCTCACTGTTGTGGCCTCTCCCGTTGCGGAGCACAGGCTCCGGACGCGCAGGCTCAGCGGCCATGGCTCACGGGCCCAGCCTCTCCGCGGCATATGGGATCTTCCCGGACCGGGGCACGAACCCGTGTCCCCTGCATCGGCAGGCGGACTCTCAACCACTGCGCCACCAGGGAAGCCCTCAAGTGCTTTTATGAACATTATCTCTGCTGCTCTTCACAGCAATGCTGGGGAAAGGCGGGGCAGAGATTGTGGTCTCCATCTGACTGCTGAAACACTGAGCTGCAGAGAGATGAAGTCAGTTTTCATCGGTCCAAAGCTGAAACCCACATCTCTGGCTTCTCCTATAAAGAAACCAGAGGTAGGCTGAGTAACGCGTTGACTAAGAGAAACAAGTGGTAAATGAGGGAAGACTTGTAGACCTTCAATTATTAATACTTTCTATTGAGATTCAGAGATAAGTCCGTTACTCTGAAGGTGGGGATAACACCTGGTTGCCTGAGAGAAGGGACTGGCATTGGAGCAGGTGCTCCATTAATGTTTAATGAAAAATGAGCTAAGACGTGAGATAGGCCGGACAACCTGAGAGAGGGCCTTAGTGCCCGTACGGGGTTTTGATTCTGCACAACGGGTAAATAGAAGCCTTTGGAGAGGTTTCATAGAGAAAGCACTAGGTCAAGCTCCCTGGCTTATTGAACGACAGCAAAAACTTTTATACTCATATTTTGTTTTCTCAATGACGAGGTCTAAACTAAAGAACAAAAATTCCGCCTTCCTACAGCCCACTGAGGCAAACCCCAGGGAAATCATCATTTTCTTTTCAGGCTTTGGGGTTGCACTCTTTGCTATCTGCTTTCACCACGACGACCACCACCCCGCCCCCCAAACGCGCTACTGGAGCGACCCAAGGCTTCTTTCTGAAGCCGGTAGCTTGGAGGCGTTTAATCACTGTATATTCAAGTCCGACAGAAAGGCGAGCCCACGTGGGAGCCCCGGGCGGTCGCTGGCTCGGAGCAGCGTCTCCCAGCGAGCAGAGGTAGCAAGTGCGTTCCGGGGCCTCCCTCCTTGCGCAGCGCTCAGCCCCCGCGAGCTACCACCTCCCCGGCGGCCGGGGGAACTCAGCCGGCTCTGGGAGGTCGGGCGGCGGCCGAACGGCCGCTGCTATTGGCTGGTCGGGCGGCGGCGGAGGGGCGGGGCCTCCGTGATTGGCGGGGGCCACAGCCGAAGGGGGCGGGGCCGCTATATCAGAGAAGTCCCCGCTGCGACGCAGGCAGTCGGGCTGCTGGAGTGCGGCGACGTCGCGGGCCCGGGGGGGCCGGCGGGGGGGCGGGCGGGGGGGGGGGGGGGGGGGGGGGCGCGGCGGCTGCGGGTTGCAGGGCAGTGGTCTGCAGGGCTTCAGCCTCCCGAGGGCCAGCCTCGCCGAGCCCGGAACTGGGTCTGAACCCCGCGCACAGCAAAGACGAGGCGGCTGTGGCGGCAGCGGCGGCCCCAGCCATGCTGTGCTATGTGACGAGGCCGGACGCGGTGCTGATGGAGGTGGAGGTGGAGGCGAAAGCCAACGGCGAGGACTGCCTCAACCAGGTGAGGACCAGGGGCCAGGCGCGGGGTCCAGGCCGGTTCCCCGAGGCCGAGGGGCCTCGCTGTGGCGCCGGGACTCGCCGCTTGCCGGGGTCCGGCGGCGCAGCGGCGGCGGCGGGGTTAGTGCGCCCCAGGCGCCCGGCCTGCGCCCCCTCCTCCACGAGGCCGTGGGGCGCACGGCCCCTTCGTGGCGTGCCGGGGGCGCGTGGTGGGGTGGGGGTGGAGGGCGCGGGGGACGCGTGGCGGGCCTGCCCCCCTGCCCCCCAGCCCGGGACTTTCCCGGAAGAAGGAGGCCCAACACACCTGCCTCAGGTGTGTGAATGATGCCTCCTGTCGGGTCCCCGCGGGGCCTGGCAGCGCCACCTGCGTCCCGGGTTGAGGTGGCTGGAGGCGGTCGCAGGTCCCTCGGGTTGCTCGGCAGAGACAAGCAGTGCCCTTGTCTCTTGATGCTTCTCAAATGGAGAAGCATTTCTTATGCACCTCCTTGCATCTCCCGATTCGCGGGGGACGAGAGGACGGTAGGTTTGGGTCGTGGACTCCTCGGTTGTCTTTAAGCACGCGTTTCCTTAGGAGTGAGGAGGAACGGTTCCAAACAGTGCATAGTGGTGTGGCAGAAAATTTGATCTCAAGTGAAACGCTGTGCCCTCCAAACCCCTCGACCTGAGATGTTTGGAAAACCTCCTGCAAAGCTTAGCTGACACTTGTGGCGTGTTTCCTCAATGTGTTTGCTTTTTTGGAGTCCAGATGGTTAAAATTGTCCAGATAATAAGCTGCCAGATCAGCTGTGCAGATTGTGCTAGTGGAGGGAATTCCAGTGATTGGAATAAAAAGGAAAATACCCCGTGGATTCCCGTCCTCAGCTTTTCTGGAAGGCTACATTTTGAGAACTCCTTTTGTGCCTCTATACTACATCTAGTGGTTTCGCGTCACTGGAGCCTTAGAACTCTGTTGTTTTAGCTGACAACAGGAATTGTAACACCGTTGTTGAACTTTGTTATTTTTTTAAAAAAAAAAGAATAGGCAGGAATCTTAGACTCAGATGGAGCCTTTGGGTTTGCTTTGACCACATGGACCGCTTGCTCATCCACACTGCATTCATTTTTGTTTTAGGTGTGCAGACGATTGGGAATTATAGAAGTTGATTATTTTGGACTGCAGTTTACGGGTAGCAAAGGTGAAAGTTTATGGCTAAATCTGAGAAATCGGATCTCCCAGCAGATGGATGGGCTAGCCCCTTACCGGCTTAAACTGAGAGTCAAGTTCTTCGTGGAGCCTCATCTCATCTTACAGGAGCAGACTAGGTAAAGTGACGCTAAAATAAACCAATGTCAAATAGACCTCTGATTCCATTTAGGAAGGGCCACTGCACCTTCCCAGAGATGTTCATAGGCAAATTTGTTTTGATACAGAGTGAGTTGGTTATAACTTAGAAGTTTTCCATAGCACAGGTCTTTTGTTGAGGTGAAAAGAGAGCTGCATAGTTGGCCTGGGGTACATTTTCCACCTCTTCTGGTGTTTTTCTTATTTTTATAGACAATGGGAGAGTAAGGTTGAATTCTTACAAACACTTGAGATCAGTGCCACAACGCAAAAAAATTAAAGAAAGAAAGAAAGAAAGAAAAAAGACCTAACTGACTTCCTGATAGTGGCATCTACTGCCCGATAGTAACCTCTGTCTCAGCAGTGTTACTACAGGTCATTGCAGACTGCTCTAACAGAAAGCAGGAAACAGTTCCTCTTGGGTTACTTAAACTTGGTCAACTTCTTCAGCCTAGTGTCAAGTTACAGTGTGTAGCAAAGAGCTCTGTCCGAATTTTAAAAGTTTTTCAGTTTCTTGAAAACTTAGTCAGAAAACTCTTTTAAGGCCAGTAGTAATCTAACACTACCCCACAGATAGTTTATACATGATTGTTGGGTTCAGATTGTTAAATTTATCTCTTCTAGAAAGCCACCACTAGTGGTAGACAATTGGAGCATGTGGTTTCCTTTTTCAAACAGAAAATGGATTCTCCCCTGGACTGGCTGTAATACTTTTCTCAAGGATGAGCCAAGCTAGGAAACTGGTGTTTAATATTTACTGCTGAAATGCAGGAGACCTAAATCTTATAGTGCCATGTAAAAAAAAAAGAAAAAGGAAAATGACTACTTTTAAACATGGTAAACTTTGGATCTTAGTTCTAATGTTTTTCATAATCCTTTGGATTGGAAATTTGCCATGCACATAAAAAATGTGAGTGTGAGAATTATGAGTAATGAGTGAGCCATATCCTTTAAGAGTTTTTAACATGTCATTTTTTTGGTTGTTTACCAGAGGACGTATAGACACATATTTTGAAACACTATTTATTTGAATTTGAAATCTCTCCTTTGCCTTTTTATGGAGCTTTAAATGGTGAGAGAAGTGTTCAATTTTGTATCTGAGGGAAGCTAGTATATTGAATTCTTAGTGCTCCTGAAAATATGTTGCAAAATATTCAAGTGATTTCATATTTAAGGATGTTTTAGCTGTCTATATGAATCAGGATAGGTTGGGTTTTTTATTTTTTTATTTTAAATTAAAGCGGATTTGTGAATGCTTCCACTTTGCACTTCAGTGTGATAACTTGCAGTTGAGTAAGAGAAAATAATATATATATAAAACACCTTGGAATTTTCATTGTGTAGCTTTATCATTATTTTGCAATTATTACAGGGCCTCCAGATTCAAATCTATTTTGATGACACAGGTTTATTTTTTAAACCTGCAGAAACTTGGAGGACCAAATACATCATTTAAACAATGACTGAGGGACTTCCCTGGCGGTCCAGTGGTTAAGACTTCGCCTTCCAATGCAGGGGGTGCGGGTTTGATCCCTGGTTGGGGAGCTGAGATCCCACATGCCTCGTGGCCAAAAAACCAAAACATAAAACAGAAGCAATATTGTAAAAACTTCAATAAAGACTTTTAAAAAATGGTCCAGATCAAATAATCTTAAAAAAAACCCAGTGGCTGCAGTCATAATATAATACGTACATCTGTATTATAAATGCTTACAGATTTTACAATTTGCTACTAGTCTTTACCTGTGCTTTCTTGTAATAGAGTGAATAACTATTATCAGCTCCATTCTATTCATGCAAGAAATAGAGATATTTTATGAATTAGAATTGGAATCAAATTTCCTACTTTATTGACTCAATTGACTTTGACTCGAGATTCATGTCTAATAGCACTCAAACATTGCACATACCTAGTTAGACTAGGTAATTTTAATTGATTTTCATTCCTTTTGAAATTATACTGAAAAATTCATGTGATTTTGACTTTTAAAATATTGGTGTATTTTACTTGTTTTTGTTGGGTTGTCTGAAATAAATACAGAATTTTAAGAAAATGCCACCTAAACTTTATATAGCATTCTGCTTTAATAACTAGATAAAGTGCGTTGTAATTAGCATTGTACCTTTTCATTAGGATCAGTAGTCGTGCTGCGTCGAATGTAGTTACAATTAGCATTGTGTTTATGTGCATGATACTACGGAACAGAAATACTTATTTTCCCTAATATTATGTTATCAAGATAAAGCTGGTTGATAAACTTTTTTGATATTTAATCATTTGTTGTAAAATATTCATATAAAATGCCATGAAAATAAAATCGATCTGTTTACATGGTGAGTAAGCTCAGCTTTGCCAGTCCAGTTATGAGAGGTGATATTTTCCCAGCTCTTCATCAAGTCATGAGGTCAAGTCATCAGTCATTTCCATTTAATACTCAGAAAGTGTCTGGACAGTTTATTAAATGTGCTGAAATATCCTAGCCAAGTTGTCTCTGTGGACAATTAAAGCAGCCTGCTCGCAGTAGCTGGCCTGACTGGGGGCCAGTTAATATATTAGTTTGCATTAGATTAGGGAAGCTGCTGTGAGAATGACAGGCAGGAAGGCCCGTCTGTAAGAGCAGAGCTCTAGGGGCAAGGCAGAAGCCCCTGCGTTCTGGGTCCAGCTCAGCAGTCTGCCTCCAGCATGTACAGCCTTCCAAGACTTGAGCCCAACTGAAAACCCTGAAAGAGATTCTTTAAATCCCTTCTAGCAGTAGACTTTTTTTTTCTTGGCTTCTGCTTCCTCTCCATATTATTTTCCTAATGCTTTTTCTAAATACATTTCTCTGAAGAGAGGAAAAAATATATCCAATGTCTGCTTAGATTGGTAGATAGAGTTAGTCTGGCCTCTGATGTGGCCTGATTTTAGATTTGATTCTTTACCTGGATAATTATGTTTGCTCTGGAATGGGGGATTCTGGAAAGTAACCAGAGAGTTTTGTTTAGACTCAGCTGGCACCTTTCAGAGATTGGCGACAGCAGGTGTTTTCAGCAGATGTTTGCCATGCTATGGATTAAAACGAAAAGTGAAATTAATATATTCCAGAAGTAAATCTGAAATCATAATCATCTTTGAAATTATTACCTTTCAGAGGCTTTCGGTTATTCACAGCAATTCAGACCAGATTTTGTCAACATTTTCAAAACCAGAGATTAGAGAATTATATGCTTCATCTTCAGGGATGGTAATTATACCATCCATTCCCAGTAAAATCTTTCTGTTTCTCCTTGACTGCCACGTTTTAGCAGAGCTCTGTGTTCTTTGCTAGAGGCACCCTGCTTGGTTAAGACTTACCAACACCTGAATCCTCTATCCCAGAAACCAATCCCAATACAGGGGCTCCGTGAGTGCTGAACTACATGTTCATGGAAATGCTATAATCCTGAACATTGCATCTCATTAGGATCTTAAAAGTCGCAAGCAGTGATGCGTTTGGCTTCAGACCCCAGCTCACTCATCACTCCCTGGGGAAGCCTTCTCCAGGCGTGCTCAGGAGACTAAACTCTCCCAAGACATCGTGTAGCTTTCCTTTATAGCATTTAATGAGTGTGTAACACTCCATTTACTTATGTGACAATTTGCTTATTGTCAGCCACTCTAATAATCTAAAATTCCATTAAGCAAGGAGCTGATCAACCTTGTATACCCAGAATCTAGCCAGTGCTTGGTGTGTAAATATTTGTTGAATCAATGAATTAAGAACTTGGAAATAAAAAAAAATAGGGTTAACTGATACTGTGATAATATAAATTTTCTTATAGGTATTGAAATGTTTGCCAGTTTGCTTCTAACTTGAAAAGTTTGAGAATGTCTAAAAGAATTCTCACCACTAAAAAATGTTTTGTAGTGATTTTTCTCAGTTAAGAATTTGCTCAGTGCTTGGCATTCTTTTGTTTGCTTGCTTCCTTCCTTCGCCCCCTCTACCTCATTCCAAGGCGTTTGTTCATTGTGGTTGTTCTTATCTAGAATGAACTACCACGCTCCTGGACCTTTTATGAAGTTCAGATAGTTTTCAAGCCACAGGCTCACTTTATCTAATTTCACCCAATTTGTAGGTCCTGACTACTTATTAAACTCAATTTTTCCCTGTCTCTCAACAAATATTACTTAGACAAGTGAAAATCGAAGGAAGATGGCATCACTGAAACCCACAAAGCAAATGCCACATGCAAACTATAGGCAGGTGGGGGTGACAATCTCAAATCAGTACACAGCTGAATCACATTGACCCTAGCCAGTGCCTGTAATCACATTTGAAGTCTTATAAAACATCATCACGCAATGAGAAGCCCACGCATCGCAGAGAAGAGTAGCACTCGCTCACTGCAACTAGAGAAAAGCCGGCGCGCAGCAACGAAGACCCAACGCAGCCAAAAGTAAAATAAATAAAATAAATAAATTTAAAACAAAACACATTGTCACGATGGTAAAGGTTGATTACAGAATTTACCTTTGTGTGATTCAGGATGGGTAAATTCCATAGGATGCATTGCAGGAGTATTATGCTCTTCATATCAACTACATGCCTAAGAGTGGAATGACACTGTTTTTTTTTTTTTTGGTATGCCCAAATACAACACAGGCTCCAGGAAAGTAAAAAATGGTAAAGACAGACGTGTATATTATTTCCAAAGAAAGTATTAATTACATTTCTGAATTCTTATTTATCTTTTAAGTTTTTCTTTCTGTTCAGAGTACGGGATGTTTGTGGTGGTATATGGTTATTTTAGCCACAGACTGCCCGCCTGGGCCCCTTCAGTCTCTTTTTGAATTTCTGATACTTATATATGTGTATGAAATATCAGAGAACATTGAGAAATTGATTTTTATGTAACCAAAATGAACTGTTCATTTTGAATGTCATTATAAATAAAATTTGAATATTTAAATGGCACAAAGGGCAGATTCAGGGTGACCAGTGGGGTCAGGTTCCAGGTTTAT